TTCTTTTCTTGTGCTCGATCGATAGCCGATGTACTGGCGAATGTACTGGCTTGCCCTGAAGCCAGCTGGCCAGCAGGCCAGCCCCGCCTGCCCTCAAGGCTGGGCCGTCGGCGCCTGCTTGTCCAGGCCACAACTTATCCAGCAGCAAATTGTAGCGCATAAATGCGCAATATCATTGCTCCAGGGCAAGGCGAGCAAATGTGGCCGTAGCAATTGCCCTGTTGACCGATAATGCTTGCTAGCCTTTAATGAGAACTTAGTCGCCCAAGGTTGTTGGGGGTCGTTCAAGAAATGATAATTGAGTTTAAATAAAGTAAGTGGTATGTAGGAAAAATGGGTTTCCAAGGCTCCCTTAACTGATTGATGTTGGGGTACATTTGATTTATATGAAATGTACTCACGCTATTTCGCTTAAGGTGACGAAGGACTGCGCCCAAGGTTGTTGGGGGTTGTTCAAGAAATGATAATTGAGTTTAAATAAAGTAAGTGGTATGTAGGAAAAATGGGTTTCCAAGACTCCCTTAACTGATTGATGTTGGAGTACATTTGATTTATATGAAATGTATTCACGCTATTTCGCTTAAGGTGATGAAGGACTGGTAGAAGAAGAATTTCCCCACAATGACATCAGTAGAGTTGACGTTTCTTTTGAATTTCACATAGCCTTGCTTTCACAAAAGTTGTTCTCATCCACGACGGATTGCAGTTTCGACACCCCCAACGGGAGTCGAACCGTGGCAGTGCAGCATGTGAGATGGACACGTTAACCACTCGGCCTAAGCGAGGTCGCAACTGCAGTCCACTGGCGCCTGGATGAGGACAACTTTTGTGAAAGCAAGACTATGTGAAATTCCATGGAAACGTCCATTCTGCTCATTTGATTGTGGGAAGATTCTACTACCAGTAGGGTGAGTGGTAGTCTTGAAACTCTGCTGAGATAGGAAAAATGCATTTGATTTGTGTGAAGAGCCGAATGGAAGGGCTTCGTAAGTCGGCCTCGCCGGAAGCTGTAGGAGGATTGGCTTGAAGATGTGATTGTAGATTTGTGTTAATTGGTCCTCTGAGCAGGGTCCTGCGACCCCGATCAATACTTGCCGAGGTTTAGTCGTTGCGGAACAGAAATCGGCAAAGAAGGACACCAGGTTTAGCGATAATTGTCCGAAACACGAAGACAAAAAAGGTGGCCAGCTTTAAACCTACCTACTTTATATACCACAATTTTGTCACTCATGTTTCGGTTGGATATTCTATGCTTTGCCTAAAGGTTTGCTAAAAGGTTAAGTGGCTGCGGATGAAGCGGTAAAAAGGGTGCAATTGTGACCCAACAGTCGCATCATTCTCCTAAAACACTTAACTCTTTGATCCTGTATGTGATTACGTTCCACTGCACACATTGCTCTTGAACTGAGTTTGATGTGAGAGTCAAAACCAGATTCGAGCCTAATCAAGCCTCTTCCTCTTGCTCGGCGGTACTTTTAGTTCCCTCTTTCTCCCTCTGATCCTATCCAACTTCCTACATTCATTCCTTCTATTCAGGTTGTTGACTGTCGCATCCCTCGGAAACAGTGGTATCCGACGTACATACTATGTAGGCTTGTAGAAAAAGCGGGTTTCGAAGTGAGACCAACTAACGAATTCCTTCCACTCGCTTCTTCAAGCAAAATTAAAAATACTCCAACATTTAAAGTAAGCAGGTTTCAATTGAGTTTAAAATGTAAAAGTTAAGCTTCACGATGTCATCTATTTTCAGTTGGCCTTGTCTCCCAAAAAGTGCATAATTTCAGGCCGGGTTAAGTTTCAATTAAATTCAACGAGTTTCAACCGAGCAAGTTTCAATATAATGAGTTTTAATTAAGTGAGTTTCAATTGAGTGAGCTTGAATTGAGTTTATTTTTTATTTTATTTCACGTAATAGGCCTCATGATACTGATGGGAGTCGTTCAGTCTTGCCTTCAAAATGTTTTAGATTCCAGGCCAGACCAGGTTTATTTAGATTGAGGGAGCTTGAATTAAGTAAACTTCAATTAAGCATGATCGAAGAG